GATATCTGGGAGGGCAGCTCCACATTCCCTTCCTACAGGCTTGAGTGACCTGCAGAAAACCAGTGTTTTGTGTGGGAGGGCAGACGAAATGTATAAAGCACATTCGATATCTATCTAGTGTACGTGACATACTGTGTTATACAGCAATTACAGTGCCACATGATGCTAAAACATCAAGGTCTTTAAAAATATTCCAGCTGGATGATGAACTTCAAAAGTGAAAGATGATTTTTGAGTGTGTAACCCATACCGAAGTCAATACACCCATCACACACACCAGCTCTGAAGTGCACATTGCCCCAAATAGGGAGCAACATGAAAAAGGTCCTTGCTTTTGATTGGCCTTATGATATCTGAGATTCTTTAGTGATCTTCATAAGGGAGTTGAATGCCCAGGAATTTAGATTTTCTGATAGAGGGCATATCATTTTGAACAAAAATGCACAAGTTGATTGTTTGCCAGGGAAGGATAAATGTCAAAAAAAAGAATTCGTACATGTATCATATAACTTTATAGAATAGCTTTGATAGGCCCAGGAATTGTAATAGATGAAAAGGCTTTAATTTCATCAGTGTAGTGTATCAAGTCACATTGCCCTGCCTCAAAGTTATACCACTGATGAAAATAGAATTACTTTATCTTTTTAACAAATGAAAAAGAAATAGTAAAACTTTGTGTTAACCCTGGCCAGGTAATTGCTCAGCATTTTTGCATTCCATGTTTTGTATTACATATATACTGGTAATATTAAAATGAATGTCTGTCTGTATGTCTATTTACCTGATATATAGCCCTCATGCTGGCAGAATACTGATTAGATTTTACAGTAGCTATATTCACTTAATGTTTAGAATCAAGATGAGTATTCTGCCAAAACACATCCAAGGTTATTGATATTTTTTCCCATTAATGATGATTCTTTCCTTTTATCACCATCTCTTCTGTGGTTCTTAAAGCCTTCCTCCCTCTGCAGAACTGGATCAGCTGGGGTTTCAGCTATGAGTCGGAGACCAAGGACAACACGGTGATGCACATGACCTTCTTCTGCTCCGTTACGCTGTGCCTAGTATTTGGTGGCTTCATCTGGGCCTACATGCCTGATTACAGGTACAGATTTATTGAATTATTTATCTGATGTATGCAAATATTAATAGGGGTATGTCATTAGTTTTCTGTTATAGTTTGGAGGTTTTCCATTATTTTTTCTTCTCCCCTTTCATTTCTTAGTTTTTTTTTCTTTTTACTCTCCTTACCTTTCCTCGTATTTAAATCATGAAATAGGTTGTCTTGAGATGATCCAACAGTAATATGGTCTTCTGGCAAGTTTGGTGGCAATCATTTAAGCCTATAGTAGCCTTTGGAAGAAGAGTTACCTTAACGACAGTGTATTAAAATTGCTGGAAGAATTTGTGGTCATTATTCAGGTTGAAAGATAGTAATATTCCTTTGTTTATGATTGGAGTCTACTTCTTGTGAGCACTGCATTGTTGTATTTAAGTGTTGTGCAAGGGGCAGTGAACATGGAAAGTCATGTCTCATGATTTATTTTTCTTCGTACAAACATTTAATCTCCATTTGTTTACTGTCCTGTGGGTATATGATACTGAATTTTTCCATCCTATTAGCCAGGGTGCTAAACTGGGGGCATGTGAATTTTGGTGTTGGTTTGAGACTTGATTGCGTAGTATTTGAATTTATTTAATTTATTCCACATTTGGGTAGCTTGTTTGATTATTAACTAGCACTATTATTCCATAGTTTGAAACTAGTTTTATGTACTACCCTAGACTTACATGGACAAAAGTAAAAACAATGGTATTTCACCCTTTATCACAAATGATAACTCTTTTTGCCTCGTGTAACCAAATACAGAATTACAAATTATGGTATCTTGCTATTTATAGCTAAAGTATGTCCAAGCTATCAACATCTTGTGAAGTCATACTAGCAGCTAATAGGACAGGTGATGATTCTTTGGACATTCAAGGGAAGGTGTTTGTGACCATATTAGGCAGTCCATTAGGGATCTAGAAACATTAAATGGTGAAGACCCTTGCTTTAGGGCTTAGAGGTAAGTGTGGTATCAAAACTTCATGTTCTCAATTTCCCCAGGCTAAGGGAAGGGGAGATTCTTGCAGAAAGCCCTCTGACCAAGCCTTCACTGTTTCAGAATGGTTGACTGGGCACAGCGAGAGGGCTACCTGGAGCTGAGACGACGAGAGGCTGAGGGACTCCCTTTGATCGACCCGAACCTGGTCAGTGTTGACAAATTTGAGCTGCCAGAAGACGAAGAGCTGGGCGACACCGAGATTATCATCTAAAAAAGAAAACCTGTTTAGGAGAATAGTGTCATTTCTTTTGCTTCAGAGAGCATCTGAGATTCCCCATATTTGTGCCCAAACAGGTGTTAGTATTTATTGTAATTTTTACATATTTCCTTGCAGGTGTTATGGAATGCAAGAAATCCTTGGTGTCCATTTTGTAAATATCAATATGTTTAAATGAAATATATATGCACCACACAGTTCTTATCTGGTATTTTATTATCTTTTCCCCGACCATAAAATGTAAAAACCAACTCCTATTAACTTAACCCAGTAACGATGTGTCCCCCCACATGAGACCCGAAAAAAAAATTGCTTGGCATCCCGCCAGTTTGACGCTGTATCGGGACTCAGCAATCATCTGCTTCCATGCCGCAGTGTCTAAATTTCTATAAAACCCTCATGATGCCCAGGAATGAAACTATTGTGGCAGAGAATTTTTGATAACAAAAGAAAAGTACAAATGAGATGCTATACTATTTAACTGGAAGATTACTTTTAACCAGACAGTCATGTAAAAAAGTCATGTAAAAATGAACTCGCAGGTTTCGAACTAATTGGTCCTGTGCATCCTAATAGGGTCCACATTCTTTCATACAAAATACAGGCATTCTTCAGTGCAATAGTATATTACTTTCCTTAAAACTAAACCAAGTGATCTATTTTATACTAATAATAGTTTTAGCCTTTCAAAAAATTTAAAGAACATTAATGCAATAATTATTAGTTAAAACTAAAGTAAAATTTAGGAAAAAATTAATGAAAGGAAGAACATGTAGTCTGCACAAGAATTCTCTATCATCAATTTCCACCTCTTGGTTAATAGCTCTCAATACTGTTGACTGTTTAAACCTTTAATTTTCTCTACTCAATGCTTATAAACAGACAAGTTTCAAGACAAAATTATTATCAATATGAAAATAATTATATTAAATGTGTTGTCACCATGAAAGTTTAAACTGAACAATGTAAACCCAATGTCACTGTATTTAAGTGTTTTAAGTAGTATTGATTTATGGAAGGTGTCTACACATAAATCACTCCACATATGCTTAGCACCAAGTAGTTAATCAATAGATCTGGTGACCTTCAGTTATTTAATTGTTTTTTACTAATGCCATTAATATTGATGATACTATTTTAAATATGATTATTATAATGTAACTGACATTACTAAAAGCAATACAAGAGAAAGGAGAATATTTCTGAATTTCAAGGGGGAAAAAAAAAAAAAAAAAAACGGGCAAGATGGTCACCACTGAGGCTATTGCTATCACGACCCAAGTATTTTGGAGCCAACCGCATGTAAAGAAAATGAATAAACCAAATTCACAGTGGGGATAGCATGTACAGCCTGCAACAAAAGCGGTGACGCCTCGCTAGTCCTGGGCTCGGTGAGATCATGCCCTTCTTGCCTTGATAGGAGGCCCACGTTCAAACAACTAGGGCATAGTTAGGGTAGTTCGAATGAGGTGAGGGGAAAGTACGGAAATCAGGCGAAGAGCAGCAAAAATGACTGAAATATACATGGAGAGAGAGAGAGGGATCACTTTTATTCCTGTTTAGTTGTTAATTTAGTGGATATATTGGAAACCTGTCTTAAGAAATAAATTATCGTTCATTTCGAAAATGATTATCAAGAAATCTTATTACATCGTTTTATTCCAATTCCTTATCATATTTTCTACAAAAAAAAAAAAAACATTTAATATGAATACAGTTCCAACATATTCGTCAAACGGAAATATCCTACATTCATATATGAAGGATGTATATTAATATATGGCTCTGCATTATCCTAAGCAGCTACTCTTACTTATATCACCTGGATCCACTATTTTGATGATGGTAAATTTGATATGTTATTTGGAAAAGAACATATGACTAGTTAATACGACATTTTATTTCCAGATATTTACAATTATTTGTCAAAGTAACAAAATTAATAAGTAAAAGGCGGATATCGAAAGCAATGGGTTTCTTGAATAGTTTGGAGTGGAAAACACCGACAAGGTGTTGGGCACCAGCCGCTGAAACGACAAATAAAGGAGTATAGTCAAGGTTAAGGGAATATCCCCTTAACCTTGGGTAAAGTGAAGTTTGACTCGAACTTTCGCGGGGTGAGTGAGCAAGCGTGAACCGGGAAAGGGGTTTGCTGGGAAGTGCCCAGGCCTAAAGACTCAATAATTTGATACTAAAAGATATATTACTAGTACAAGTTTCGCACCTGCATCCTATATACCCCACCATTATATTAATGCACCGCTGCACACATTCATTGTTTTTCTTTTTACAACATTCATTTTCACCAAGTTTCGGAAATATAATAAATTAGGCCGACTGACAATGCACTTTAAATTAATTTGTATCTCAAAAATAACAATGCTATGATAGGCATTAATACTTTCTGTAAGTATATGATTGCATGGCGCAAAACCAAGTGGCCCATCACACTCAAGTTGACCCCAACCATGCTTCGCGATTCATGAACGAGACTGGGTCACGGTTCGTAGATACCCAAACGAAATAGGAAAACAAGGGAATTGATACCTATACCTTTACAGCCCATTACCCTCAGTTTTGCAGCCAAAGCCATTTATTAATGTTTGGTAGCCCAAGAGGCTCTATCTTAGACGATGCATTATTCACACCCACAAGTATTACCCACAGTGTGTGTGTGAGAAAGAGGGGAAGAGTGAGTGAGAGGGAGAGAGGGGGGGAAGAGTGAGTGAAGTAGAGAGTGAGAGTAGTGAGTGAGAGGGAGAGAGGGGGGGGAAGAGTGAGTGAGAGAGAGGGGGAAGAGTGAGGGGGAAGAGAGAGAGAGAGGGGGGGTGCAGACACTAGCCTCAATAAGATGGGACTGAAACAGCCAAAAACACTCCTTGCTTTGTCTAGCGAATCAATCATCCCCTTCCTCCCCCCCCCTTCCTAACTATGTTCAGGCTGTTTGAACGTGGGCCACCTTTCAGGGCAAGAAGGGCAAGATCTCTCCAAGCCCAGGTCTGGCAAGGCGACTTCACTTTTGTTGTTGGGTGTACTTGCATGCCATCCCAGCAGTTCAGGGTAATAATATACTCAGGTTTTCTTGCAAACTGCGGAAATTGTGTGTGCAGTAATTTACCAGTCATTCTCACTTGCCTGACCCCCAACCTGTTGATCCTTTCGGAATCCCTTACCTTTTCCTTTGGCAACTTATTCTTCCTCAGACACACATCCTCCATTTGATCTAATCGCCCTAATCCCTTAACTTCTTCCCATTCTAACCCTTACCTTGTACTACACACCACCAGCTCCCCCTCTCTACACTTCACTACCGAAACACCCTCTGATAATGTTAAACCTCTTCATTAGCTTATTCCCAACCCTTTTTACCTCTTTACTTTCCTGTAGTTCTGTAGTTCTATATGACCTTGATGTCTAGCACATTTTTGTTATAATCTTCAACCATTTACCAGTATGTTCTTAGAACTGCAAGGCATTTAAAGTTAGGGTTGGGTTGGATTGGATTAGGTTGTTTTTTGTAGAATTCAAACAGTTTCATATTTATTGTAAATCTACACAACTTTCTTACATTGCCATAATTTATCTGAAGAATGGCTGATGGCCATACTTCAAAAGAACTATAATATGAGCAAGTGACAGAACAGAACACAAGGATTCACAGTGGCTTGTGGGTGGGTTGTATGTGCAGTATCTTGACAACAGGATGTTCACACGCTCCACAAAGCATGTTCAATGGATCCTGTGACCTGTAATATTAGTACATTATTTCTAAAGCATTGAAAGATTCTTCATACATCTTAATACAAATTCATCAGAATTTTCGGTGAAGGTTTGTCGTCAAGACACTCAGTTGGTGATGCATAATTTGTCATCATTTCTAGCCATTCCTATAGGAACAATATAATTTCCTCTCAATAAACACTACAAATGATGTATTTCCACTTCAGGGTAAGACCCTACCTTGCTTACTTTGGAGTACAATCTTCCATTTTTCTGTGGTCATCTCAGCCAAGGTACACCAATGAGCTTAATTCACTAGGTACTGCTGTGCTCATATTCATACCTGAAAATAAATTAAACTAATGAAATGTTAACATCTAACTTCTCATCTTACATTTACTATATGCAGTTGTCAGATATAGGTATTCAAAACTCAACATAGCCATCTGTGTGGTGCATGGTGTCTCATCATTTTCAGTAATACACTAATGAAACCATTTATAAAACTTTTGAAAGATTTTAAAGAAAAGGAAGGAGGCTACATACCTTGCCAAACTTGCATTAAGCTCAAAGTGCCTTGTGGCTTTGTTGTACATGCATTCTTCCTCAGCAAGATGCACCCACATTCAACTGCATATTCAGATGACCTGTAAATGTATTTCTATTAATTTTAACCTCTAAATGAACTTCATTATCTATTACGAGTAACACTCAGAATTTTCGGTGTAGGATTGTCGTCAAGACACTCGGTTGGTGATGCATAGTTGGTCATCATATCAAGCTATTTTTCAATGTTTTAGGAACCTAGTAGTTACTCAGCTCTAAACAGTAGTTGTTACCATAAAGGATTGAATTAATGCAAACAATGGATTCTTACCTTGCATGCATTCCAGCACAATTATGGTCTTTTATAGGCATGCGAGTGTAGGTGCACTGATGACCCATTTCACTGGCAGTAATGCAATGATCAGCATCTGAAGATATACAAGGTTGTCAAAAATACTCTCATTCCACTCCATACAAATATGATATAAAGTTATCAGATATAGGTATTCAAAACTCAACATGGCCATCTGTGTGGTGCATGGTGTCTCATCATTTTCAGTGCTATACAATTGAAATTCAAAATGAAGATATACTGATTAGGATTATTAAAAAGTGAAAGTACAAAGGCTACATACCATGGTTAAAGCCTGCACAATATGCACAGGTTTAGGAAAGTTCACAATGACTTGGGTTTGCTGTATAAGAAACCTTTGACAACTGGATGTTTGCCAGTTCTCCTGCACAACAAACTGATGTAACCTGCAAGAGTATTCAAACATTAATTCTAGCCTCTAGACAGGCATCAATATTACTACTCATCTGTAAACTCAGAATTTTCGGTGTAGGTTTGTCGTCAAGACACTCGGTTGGTGATGCATAATTGGTCATCATATAAAGATATTTTTCAATGCTTTAAGAACCTAGAAGCTACTTTGCTCTTTACAACAATGAAATTATATTAATATTTCAAGGAAAAAAAAAAAAAAAAAAGCAATTTTCTTACCTTGCTTGCCCTCCAGCACAACCACTTGGTTCTTCATAGGCATTTCAATTTACTATACTGCTGAGCTTGTTTTACTGGCAGCAACTACTGCTATCTTCATATCTAAAATGACACAGGGTTGTTAAAAATTGCTCACATTCCACAGCATACATATTTAAGATTGAAATCATCAGATATTGGTATTTAAATCTCAACATAGCAATCTGTGTGGTGCATGATGTCTCATCATTGTTTAATTTTAACATTTCTGCCTACAAGAAAACAGGATTTTAGGAATTCTTACCCTCCCCCCCCAAAAAAAAAAAAAAAAACTGCAGATTATACCAAAACTTACTTTATGCAAACTGCAAACAGTTCCATCCTTAGGCTTCTCTAACAGCACCTGCAAATAATGAATGCACGGTAAGCTTGAATCCATAATACATTTTACTAAATCCTAATTCTTTACAAATTCACATATCAAGGTTATTCTACAAAATTTAAGGAACTCACCTCAGACTTTTCTTGTGCTTGAAGACCGGCCCACTGGCTGCTGCGTTCCTCTTGCAATATCCAGGACCTGTTAAGTTGTACTTTTTAATTATACTGCATAAAGGGCAGCCAAATTCTGCTCTCATTTCAACAATGTAATAATGAAGATATTCAAGACTTAAAAAGTATGAAATGTGAAAATACTTACCTTTCGTCCTTGGGTCCTTTATACAGACTTAAATGGAGCCTTGGTTCATATTCCACCTCAAAAGCTTATGGTATGCTTAGAAAATAGTTAATGCATTTTAACCTATTTTGAGGAGCACAAGAACCTAAATACGTGTGGAGGAAATTTATGTATGATTCACAGTTGGCAAGGGGGAAAAAATTCCAAAACCTTTAGCAGTAGTCCATTGTGATTGCAAAGTGGTTACACCTTTATGCAGGCAAAGCTACACATACCATGGCATTGTGTTCTGGCAGTAGGTGAAGACTTGTTTCTGATGAGAGAATACATTTGTGCCCACACTGGGGACTCCCTTTCCTGAACTGGACCCATGTTTTGAATTTATTTCTTAGCACTTTTTCCAAGAGCCAAATCAAAACTAGGACATCTACACCAATTTCCCTTTTGAGGTCAAATGAGATGAGTGCATAATAATCGCGTTTTATTAACCCCCGATGGAGTAAAATAACATTCCGATTTTTGTATTTTTTTTATTAATAAAGCCCAAGAGCTTAATAATAAACAAAAGTTTATCGCCTCCTGTGCAGCTGGAGGGAGTTCTGTGTGAGCCAGCGTGCACGACGAGAGCCTCCCTTGGTGTGCGAGTAGCCAATACCACGGCCCAGACCACGATGTCTGCGTCCCGCAGCAGTCTTGCCACGCAGCTCACGGTGCTTGTGAGAGGCATCGCATATCCAGTTAACCGAAGGGTCTCTACGGATGTTGTCGTGGTGGGGATCAAGGAGGATGGCTTCGTAATATTTGAAGGTGGAGTCTTGGGCAACCCAGTAGCTGTTTAGCAGACGCAGACTCCCCAGCCTACGGCCCACACGTTCCTGCAAGAAAATATTGCCTTACCTCCTTGCTCCCTTCAAATTCTTTCCAGAGACTAAATTTTAGCTTCCCCTCTCTCGATAGTTATACCTTTAACAAATTGCATCTTACACCTTGAATTTTGTCTACATTAAAATGGAGAGCAGTGCACTGATACGGGGAAATGGACACCGCTATCTTACAGACCACAAGAAATAGAGTAATGACCATGAGTACAGCAAGAGCAGCCTCATTTACTGCAAAATGCAAAATACTCGCTGGGGATTAACAATGTAGCAAAGGTTAGGCTGTGGTTTTTGGGTTCACATGATGCGCTGGTTTTGGGACCATCTCTGGAGGGCGTTCTAAATAATTCCCAAAAATTGATATTCATGTTACTCAATGACAAGATTAATCACAATCAACACAGGACAACCCTACTCACCTCTGCCAGTGCTTGCAGGCTGCGCACAGGCTTCAAGTGGTTCACACCATGGCTCTTGGGCTTGCCATATGTGCAACCCTTGGCAACAGGGCGCTTGCGGCCTCCACGGCGCACACGCATGCGGTAAATTACGAAGCCTGGGAAAATAAGAACACAGTAAATACCTAAATAATCCTACCGTATTGCACTCAGGCTAAAATGTACTCAGCAATTTTGGTGTAGATTTGTCGTCATGACACTCGGTTGGTGATGCATAGTTGGTCATCATATTAGCTTCTATAAATTTCAAGTTTACCCCAAAAGCCCTTCCTACGCGAATCCAGCACTATCAACCCGACATCCTGGTAAACACTCGGATCATACCTTGCTTGGCCTTGTAGCCGAGCCTCCTAGCCTTCTCTGGGCGAGTGGGCTTCGGGACACGGACGAGCTTGTTGAGCTGACGGTACTGCCAGGCTCGCACGCGGAGCAGGAAGCGCATCACATCGCTCTGCTTCTTGCGGTAGATCTCTTGCATGTATTTGTAAGCCCCCATTGTGGTGCGTTTCTAGGGCCTGAAACGGAGGGCAGAGGGGATGGTTGCAGACAATGAGCCTAGAAGCCAAAACACCTTAAAACAGCCTTAAAACTATCAGGTTCATCAGAATTCCCTGCACAAATCCCAACAATTTCCCTCACTCCAAAGTACCTGTAAAACAAAAGGCATAATTACAACACATCTACAGGCAGGTGCACCGTGGAAGTTCAGAGATTACTTCTGTCGGCCTTCGGACGGCACAAGACAAACACGGGAGCCGCGCCGCCCTTCCCAGCCACACTATTCCCCGCGGTTTGCTTCGCAGCCGTTGGCAAGAAAGCCCCCGTCACAGGGCGAACGACACCACGTCTACGGCACTATCCTCGCAAACTCAGTTGTGCAATCTTGATCCTTAGGTTTGCATTTACAGGAAAACGGGTTAGTCTCTGCGGTGTGGCAGCCGCTGCGCTCGGACGAGTGGATGTGGGAGGTAAAAAAGAGTAAGGCAAATAATGCGAAGACCAAGGGAAACCGTTCCTTCCCGAAGCCACCTGAGGGCACATCCGAGGGGGGGGGGATGCAGCACTTGGAGGGGGCTGGGGATGAAGCCCCGGGTCGGGACCCCCTATGGGTCAGCGGGGGATTTCGACGGACTTCCCTGCGCGGCCGGAGTCACGGGGGCGGCTTCGGAGGCGCGGTCGCTTCGTGAACATTCCCAACACTCCCTCGCACTTTCTGCAGCGGAACGTGACCAGATTCCCGCACAAGAAACGCGTGACCGAGACGGAATACCTGCGAGGCTGACGGAGTGATCTCAACGTTTCTCCGACTTCGAGTAAACCGAGCGATTCCTTCCGCACTTCCCGCAGGACCTCCGGCGCCGCGAAAAGACTGAAGAAATGGAGGCCACAGACCTGCGTATTTCGTTTCTTGTCTGAGTACTTTTGGCAATACTAATTTAGACAGCCGCACTATATATACAAAGGAAAGTATAACAGAATTATTGACTAGAGTTCGTACATGTCGGGGAAGTTAATAAAATTGTGGGGACGTCACAGGTTGTGCTTTAATTGAAATTCAAAAGTTGTCCCTATAGTCCACAGACATCGTTGTCTCGGACCGTCTCGAATGCAAACAATATTGTGAGCTTTCTGCAAAAGACAAAATGCGGGGGTTTGGAAGGTTAGGTTAGGTTACGTTAAGAAATTTCGTCGGGATTTCGGCAACATGACACACCCGGCGGCGCCGGAATCTCGTTCGGATTATGCATTTTCTTAGCAATTTTCACTTTAAATCCACTATTTCTTCCACGTGTCGCCCAAGATGGAAGGGGAGAGGAGAAAAACAAACAGACAGGCGCGGCTGTCTTACTCACATCTACCGTACTTTTTAACGGCTCGAAATTCACACACACAGCCTGTGTCACTTTGAAAATAAAAACCTTAATCCTCGGAATTCTCTTTAAAAAGACACTTGACGAAAAATAAATCCGAAAACCATCTTTGACACGACCCAAAACACAGCCCCACATGGCCCCTTATTTCGCCCGTTTCCACCTCATATCCTTCCCTAAATTCCTCACAAACCCCGCCATTCCGCCCCCACGAACTCCCCTCCGCCGCCCTCATCCCTCCACGACGCCGCCACGGCCGCCCAAACCGCCCAAAACCACGGAATCCCCGGCGGGAAGACCTCACCTGGCCCCGACTCGAGACTGAAGAGGGCGAGGAAGGCGGACACGAGGCGACGAGGAGAGGAGGACTGGGCCGGCGGTTCTTTCCGGAAAGGAGGCGGGAGGTTTGGGGTTTATTTGCGGTTCGGTTTCTGTTTGTCTGATTAGGGTGGGGGTTTTGGTTCTCTTTTTGGATTTTGGGATGGGGTTCCAGCGAGGGTTCGTTTTTGGGGGGTTGGATGTGTAACTGTGTATACTGTACATGTACATATACACAAACATACACACAAATATACATACATGTATATATATATTATATATTATATATATAATATATATATATATATATATATATATATATATATATGCATATCTATATATGCATATGCTATATCTATATATATATATATGTTATGTGGGTCATTGTTACCCCAACATAAATCTTCGTTATTACTTTACTCTAGTAAGTTTAATCAAAGGTTATCTCAGATAGTTTCAATAATATTTTTGTTCATTAAAACTTCAGATCAGTATGGCATCATTCTGATTCATCATTCACTATTTCTGGAAACCTTAAAATGAATTAAATTACTCTATTTCACATATATCTCGATATCACTGATATTTTCACTCATATATATCATTATTCTTCAAGACATAGGTTCTTATTTAATAGATATTGTATTTCTCGTGTCGATGTACTCCAAGTGATTTAATTAGTATAAGTGTTGTTTCTTTTTGTTTCGTGTACCACTGTGTTCAACCCAACCAGTATCTCTGTGGTGTGGTTCTCTCCTTTGTTCAGTGTCCTATTATGTAGGAATGACAAAATGGGATAATATTAAACACTGTGTGTGAAAAGAACTTATACATTTATTAAGTAATAATACTTACAATTTGACCATAGTTCCTAGGCCCGCCGTCCGCTAACTTCGGGGAAAAGACGAACTGGAATCTACAGCTAACTTCACCCTAATACTAGAATTAATTTCCAGTTAGTTAAGCTAGTTTTCACGGCTAATCACGCCGTATTCTTCAAATGAGTTCCAGGAGTCAACACCGATTCACCTTCACTCAATGATGTTTCAACCTGAACTGACTTCAGGAATTTTAGACCTAGGGGTGCCAGGTCATCTAGACAGAGGCCTGGTTGTTCGGTTGTATGGATGCTGAGGTGGCACTTTGAGAAGGCGACTTGGTATTTTGGCCCTTATCTCGAGTTAAAGTAACCACCAAGATCGTCCACAAGTATTTCACCTCTAACATAAACACAACCTACAACTACAGCCTCACTACCACCAAACTCTATTTTGTGGTTTTATTCCCTTAGAATTTTATAT